GGGGGCTTCCGATCCTGCCTGTCAGGGCCAACCTGGGCTCAGAGGGGTACAATACATCTGTTCAAAGCCCCAACACAGTTTCTGTTATTTTTCAGTTATATTTTCTGTTGTTTGGTGGCTACATCTGTTCAAAACCTCAACACATTCTGATCATTCTCTCCCCATCAGATGCGACGTCGTCGTCCTCAGACCTGTCTGACCTTGAGAGACACTTCCCGTCTCTGGCCACTCGCCCCCCCATCACCAAAGTGGCCACTCCCAAGACAGCGCCGGCCAAGCGGAAACGTCGCGGTTCTTCCTCTGTTTCCTCCTCCTCCTCAGATTCCCAGACACCTCAACAGCTGTCAGCAGCGTCGGTGCCGTCGCGTTCTTCGGGCCGGAAGGATCAGCGAGGTCAAGGTCGTACGGGTGTTCCTACATCTGGGACAACGACGAGAGTGGCGGGGGAATTGGTGGGGAAGACTGCGGCAAAGTCTGGGACGCCGCTGAGGAACGTTTGCGACAAGAGTGGCAAGGATCCCGTGGTGGTGATGGTGCCGGTTGAGACATCGATGGTCAAGTCCTCCGCAGACGCGAGTCGCAGGTCCAAGGGCAAGGTCGAGGCCGGGAAGCAGAGCTCGAGTCGTAGTAGTCCTGCTACTGCAAGGTCGGGGTCAACATCAGGGTCATCGAAGTCAGGGTCGTCTGTTCCAGGAGGGCCGTCTAAGCCAGTTTCTGTGTCGTCAGGGTCAGGGTCATCTGGGGGTGAGAGGTCAGTGGCTGCACGAACAGACAGTGGTCGGTCTGCGACTCAGACAGTGCTCAACGAAGACAAGTCCACGTTTGGCATAGCGCTGGCCAGCTCTCGCTCGATGGCTCGCACAGGGGGAGGAAGCAAAAAGTCGTCCGGAGTTGTCACTCCCAGCAGTCATCGAGCCTCCTCAAAGTCAAATCTGCCGGAGAAGCAAAAGCAAGCACCCGGCGGTCTGAGAACTGGTCATTCTCAGAAGACTGACCGCTCTTGGGCGGATGACCCGTGGGTCAAGACACACTCCAACCGCCCGCCGAAACCATCGACCGGGACGAGCAGCGACAGAAAGACTGGCGAGCTGGATCGACGGGAGGACAGGAAGACGTTGTCTAAGGGAGATAACGCCGCAGTGGTGGCTCACAAAGGGAAGCAATCCGGCGTATCTCAGAAAGGGAAGTCGTCCTCCTCTGTAGGTGTCAAGGCCTCGTCGATAGCGGCTAAGCCGAGCCATCACGCCCAATCAGGTCAGGGAAAGGTGGAGTTGGAGGAGAAAAACAGAAAGAAGGAGAGAAAGAAGAAGCCTCCGTCTGCAAAACGACAGAGAGGTGAGTGCTTCTGTGTCTGTGGAGGTGGGATATGTGAACGGCGCGGTGGACTCGGGCGCTCATCAATTTTTGGGCATGTGGAGTTACTGGTATCGTCTTAAAGTTTGTTCATTTACCTTGCTTTGGATGGAAAAAATTCCAATCTACCTTGAATAGAAGTCGACACATTTGCCATTGGAAGACGTGGGGGTCGCCTGGTTTCAGAGGTAAAATTAACGAGAAAATGGCCACCAAAGTTCGATGACTTTCAAAGCTTGATAGGCTTGGAAACTGAAAATTTGCCATTTTTGTGGCTTTAGTCAACGTTTTTCAGTGAGATCCACACAGAAATGTATTTTTAAACAGACATAAAAGGTGTTGAGGAAAAAAAAAACGAAATTCCAGAAAAATTTTCCAATTGGCAGAAAAATGCCGGTTTCTTCGATTTCTGTATTTTGACGAGCGCTTGATTCACCATGATGCCTTACATATGTCAACGACTTAATGATGGGAAATGATTTTTTTTTTTAAAGCATAGAAGCCTTATCAGTATCAAGAGTTCGAGAAGAATCACAACAAAGATAGCAAATACACGCATTCCTAAATCAAAAAAGTGAATGTGAAGAAAGGATGCTTAAATGTGAACTTTGAAAGATCAAAAGTTTACATTTGAATGGACAAAGGGGATGTTTTTAACAGTTGATTGGAATTTACAGAAAGACATTAAAGATATATGATCGGTGTCAGAAGCCTTGTACCTAAGTCCGTTTGGGTACTTTTGACACCAGAGACTAAAACTAGTTTTTGTTTGGTTTTTCCTATCAGAAATCATGAAAATCCAGAAAAAAGTAATCCATGATTCACAGTATAAACTACATTTTGGTGATGTTGAGAGTTGCATCTTTGGTAGAACTTTGAGAGGGTGTGAAAATAGAAAAATTTCCAAGTTTGGACTTAAGTGGAATGCTGTGGACAGCGACGATACGGTTGTGAAGGGGAGATGAGAGGGAACAAATGATGGGGCGTGTGAAAGGAGGCAATAGCACAACTGTACATTGCCGTTTAGCCGTGATGTGTGTGTACCGGGTATCTATATTTGGAGGTAGTGTGGGTTCTGTGCATATATTTCGCTACCCCAAATTTACAAAACTCTTTCTACCCGGTACCTAGTTTTGAGAAATTTACGTAAAAACATTTTTAATATCTAGATGTTTCAAAAGCACTTCTTTGAATAACTTGATTATGACTCAGAATAATCTTCGGATTTTGATTGAGCAGCAGATAGAACATTTGGTTTCTGACCTCATGGTCTTAGCAACTCAAAACGGCCAAAAATGTCGGATAGAATGTCGTACATCTAAGGTAGTGATCTGTCCACCGAGCGCGGGCGGGTATTTATTGTGGTGTGTGGGACAGAGTGGGTATTTATTGTGGTGTGTGGGACAGAGTGTGATGTGTGGGACAGAGTGTGGTGTGTGGGACAGAGTGTGATGTGTGGGACAGAGTGGGTATTTATTGTGGTGTGTGGGACAGAGCGGGTATTTATTGTTATGTGTGGGACAGAGCGGGTATTTATCGTTGTTGTTGTGTTGTCTGCCAGTGATGTCTGGGACTGATTCATCAAGCGAGGATTCGGAAAGTCCTGGCAGAGCCTTGCGGAGTCTACGCGCCAGGCCGAGAGAGAGCCAGACAGGAAGTGGAAGGAGCACACGATCGTCTCAAGCCAAGAAAGGTAAACACTGCAGTGTGTATATGAGGTGGAGGGGGGGGGGG